ACCGTGACACTTTTCGAAATCCCGTTTGTGTCCCCCCACTTTACAAATAGGCCTATGTTTATTTTATTTTTTTAACGCAAGCCGTCATCGCCACGGAGGAGCACACAGCCTCTGTGAGCGAGCAAGACAGAGTAAAGAGAGAGAGCGAGAGAGAGCGAGAAAGAACACACCTTTATCTATTTAATATTGATGTAAAAAATAAAGTAAGAAATCATTCCAATGTGTAGAGTAAAAAAAAAATGTTTAAAAGGGGAGTGATTAGTAAAATATGCATAAATAAAAATAAAGAATGCTAACTAGGTAACATAAGATAAGAATAAACAAGTTTAAATGATTTGTTATTGGTTGTGATCATATTCTAAAGATGTTTGGACTATTAAAAAGTATACAGCTCCCTTTCATCTGAGTGTTGAGAGCTGTATCCATAAATTCCTTTTGTGCTCAAAGTGCACCAGATTGATGCATTTCATTTCAACATTTTAAAAAATATCTTCCCGGGGGTGCATGCCCCCGGACCACTCTAGAGGATGTGAGGTCAACCCCCAAATAAGGCAGGTTAAAATAATTAACGGGTCCCACAGACCCAAACAGCACACAAAGGTTAAAGGTCAGCATATAATAATGTTAAAATGTGATATACATTGCAAAAAACAAAAAAAAGAGGAGTAAAAGTAGCTCACGACTTGTTTTATTTTTTGAAAGTAGCTCTCATCCTAAAAAAGGTTGGAGACCCCTGTTATAAGAACGATACATTTGACAATTTTAAGCTTGGCCTACCATTTTATTGGAGCGATGAGGAACAGGTGGGGCTTGAAAAGGCCCATCTGTTCAAAGTGGGGAATGACAGATAAAGTTTGAGACCCCCTGCTCTACGGTGTTGTTTACCTTCTGTGATGATGACGTCATCATCACTACTTCACGAGTAAATTTTTTTTTCTTCAACTTTGTGTGGGAAAATGCGGGGATTATGCGGCCTTTTAAAAATATGCGCCATTTTGCTGATTATGCAGTAAATTCTGTGATCGCAGAATCGCGTTGTTCTGGAGGGTCTATCTGAGGATGAAGATGAGCAGCGCCTCTCCTCTTTTCTCTCTCAGCGCTTACTGTACAAACACTTCCTGCCTTCAGAAGCAGGAGAGGAGTCACTGCAGCCTCGTGCTGAGAAACCACAGCGAGGAGGAAGAGGAGGAAGAGGAAGAGGAAGAGGGGGAGGACAGACGGGAGTTGTGTGTGATTTTTGCATCACATTGCTCACCATTACATAACAGAGTGTGAGTCACAGAAAACAAGATGACGCTGTGATTCACGAGCACCTCGAGAGGGCCGGCTTATCCACAATGAAACTCTGTGGATGTGAAACCGAGGTGAACTCCACATGAGGAGAGTTAAAAGACAGCAAAGTTGGAACAAGTGCACAGCCTGATCCCTTCTCCTGACGTCTGGAAACACACTCGGCCAACAACAAAAACCCCGCTCTGCTTCGTGCATTTGATGAAGTGACAGAGGGAACATTAAATCAGCTGCTTTAGGAGCAGCTTCAATAAGTGTGTGAGCAGAGCCCATCATCCTAATGCCTTCAAACCTGAAGCCAACACGGGGACACCTGTGTTTTATAGGAGCCTTTAAAAACCTTATACTAGGAACACAATTAAGAATATGAATAGGAATTCACAGCAAAACAGAGTTGGGTCAGATTGCAGGAGCTAGGCTTGGTATTTCTGCAGAGAAGCAGAAGAGAGACAAACACACACTTTAGCTGCAGGAAGCTTTCCACAGCTGGTCTTTGAGACATATCACCTTAGATGTTGCACTTTAACAGAAAGATGAAGTCATGCATCAGACCTTTTCCAGGGTCAAATGAACCGTAACATGTTTTCGTAACAGAAGTAAAAGTCTGACTATTGTATCGCACAACAATTAAAGTTGTTGTCTTAAAGTGGAGCCATCATGCTATATTTAAAAACATGTATTGTAGGGCCATACCGATACAAAACATGTCTGTGAAGTGTTTTGCTTCAAATACCAAACAGATCACCCGTTGTAGCCATGCCTCATACTGCTCACACCCCTCTTTTGAAGCCCTGTTAGAGAAAGATTTTGGGTCCTGAGCTTGAAAAAAGAAGAGGAGGCGGAGTTAATGCCTGATCAGAATTCTACCGGAGATCAAGTTAAATTCTGCTGTGATAAAACCCCATCCTGTTCTAAACCCCATCAAGGATTATCTCTGAAACAGTATGGAGCTCAAATGCTTTTTCTCTTGCGGGTTTATCAAAAGGTGAGTTCTTTTTTTATTTCCTGCTTTTTAAACACATGTGCTCTCCAGTACAGGTTAGCTTTGAGTGTTAGCGAGGGTTGCTAACGTAAACAAAGATGTCCAAAACACGTCAGGCATTGTTTCTGATAGCAACTCTCTGTGGGTTGTACACCCGTTTTTAAAAGATTTGGGTACGGAGGAAAAGAGAGAGGGTTTTATTTTCTGAGGCTGCGTGAGTTCCCCGACGCACCGGGGACACGTCTTTATGTATAAAAGACATCACAAAGTGCATTTTGCATGATAGGTCCCCTTTAAGTGAAACACAACTGCATTTCCACTTTCCATAAAAGACAAGTCACAAACTGTTTGCGCATGCTCTCAATAACGGAATAAAGGTGCGATAGAAGCATCGGTGCATCTCAGATAAAGTGTGATCACTGACGAGAGGGCGTACCTTGCTCCTTTATCTGTCTGATCTGCTTCACAGTCTCCTTCAGGATTGCACATTTGTCAGGCTTGACGTTGAAGTTGTCGATGTCGTTGAAGTTGGCGAAGATCAGCTCGGCGAGCTCTTCGATGTATTTGTTCTCGTGCTCGCGGTTTCGCTTCTCGTTGCTCCGCTTTGGGCTGCAGGAGAGAAGGAGAAGAACAAGTTAAAGCGTGGATACATGCACGGATGGAAAGAGCGATTCCACGTGGAGAGCAGCGCAGAAATCCCTCTCATTTCAAACAGCAGCTGCCAAGTGTCTGCTGCAAACCAGAAGAGGGTTACAGCTCGGGGCAATTATTCTCCATATGAACAATAAGTCATTTTGGATTAATTTGCTGGTTATTTTCTCCATTAATTGATTAAAAAGTCAATCTTTTTTAACGTAGACCTGGCTTTTATCGTATTAGTTTCCCCTCAATCTGTTTTCATGTTGGCTAAATAAAGGAAGGTGATGAAAATAAAGATATTCAGTAACGTTTTGTCGTTACTTGTCAACGATATTGCGTGTTGATATCGTCACAGTTCATGAAGTAACTCAGTCTGGTCAACATCTTGACTTGTCACTAAAAAAAGGTTTGTTTGTTTACCTATACATTTCATTTAAATACTACAAACAGTAAGACTTGAAATATCTTGTTGTGTCAAGATATTAAGCAGCTGCCAAATGACTGCTGCCAACCTTAAGAGGGTCAATTATTCTCCATATGGCTGGAAATGCATCGCTAGGCCTCTGCATGGTGCCAACATGGAGCATCAATAAAGGAAACCCTCCTCCTTGAGTGCATGTCTACAGATAAATAATGCAGATTTATTGTTCAGTGCTCCGGGGTTAGAGCAGTCAGACATTCATGGGAACTACCCGGTTGTTACTGTACAGGATTTAAGATGTGGCTGGCCGGCTTTTACTCTAACCATCACCTTTGGTAAATGGGTAATTGATGGTTTTGCAACGGGTAATTTTGCAAAGCAGGGGTCACAGTCGCTGACCACACACACTGGCCCCGGCTGCATGAAAACGACTGTTTCCTTCATACTTGTATAGTTACAAAATGTAGTAGAAATGCCTCGAAAGTCTTACCTGGGTCCTAGAAGTTCTGCAGGACATTCTTTGCGTTTCCGTGACTCTGCCCTGGCAGGGTCAGATGGGTTTTCACCGACTCCACTCATCCTCAATGCATATCAGCGTCTAGAGAAGGAAAAAACACAGACGGGAAATGTATGAAAACACCTGGGAATTCAAAAAAAGCTTCATATGTCTGTCGTGCATGCATCGACGTACCGACTCTAAACTCAGCTCAAGACATTTTCCTGTGTAGCCTAAATGCATTTCAACCTTTTGTTGCAGAATAACAAAAAGTGACTTATATACGGAAGAGCACACACACACACACACACACACACACACACACACACACACACACACACACACACACACACACACACACACCAGTAGGAGTGAAAATGGAGCGCAGAGAGAGACTCAATCATTTCTCTCTGATGGCGCCTCTCTCCCTGGAGTCTCTGAAATGAGAACACGGCGCTTTGCCCACAGCACGAAGAGAAGAGATTGTTTCGTTACACGATACCAAGAGAAGCTCGCTCGCAGAGAGGCTTTACAATCACAACATGTGTGTACCGAGGAGGCTTCACCTGGGGAGGGTCACTCGGAGAGGAACGTTGAAATCTAATTTCTGCCAGCACGAGATCTCAGAGAGGAGGAAATCCAGAGTGACACGCTGCTCCTGCTGCTCTGAGATGTAATGCATCAGGTTATGATTCGAACGCATGTTGTGTTCTCACTCTAGATTTACGTAGAGCTCTCTGGAGCAGCTTGATTTTGGGAGACCTGCAGAGCAAACGAGGGGTTCTTTTTTCACTTCGATGTTTTGGGTCAGTTGCAAATGGATTCTGGATTCAGAACTCAGAGTTAATTTCTCATCTAGCTTTTATCATTTAAATTGTATATATCCAATGAATGCAATAATCTAAACACAAAAAAGGGTAAGCCTAAGACAAAGGGGAACTTTAATTGATGCTAAAAGTTGCACAAATTATCACTTTTTACTCAATTAGAGAAATTATTCTCTCAAATATGGCACTTAAAAAAATGAAATGCACATAAAACACATGGAAAATGTTGTGTTTGTGGGATTTTTTTTACTTTGTGTGCAGGATGTTTGTCCAACAGCAGAAATATCGATCTAGTTTTGGAGAAAAAATAAGATTTGTACATTTAAAAAGATAAAAACTGTTTTCCATATACTTTCCTCTGCTGCTCCTCCTACCCTGCGAGTCAGGCTGAACTCCAAGCCACTTAATGAAAGACAAATCAATTATTGATCAAAGTAATGCCTTATTAATTACCACCATCATCTGCACAGCAATCTGATGGCAGCTAATGGACTTGGATTTCAATATGGAGCAATTTATCTGCTGCATACAAGATGTGAACACAAAACAAATGGTGATATTTAAATAAATAAAGCATGGAAACGACTTCCTCTTTCTGCAGCCATTAGCTGTGAGGGGGAACGCAGAGAAAGAACTTTCCCCGGCACGATGCACAAGGTTGCAGACATGCTGTGAGCTCAGACAGACACCATGGAAACGGCTGTGAAAACTCAGCGTTACATAAGCAGGAAGCAGTGTGTAGCAGCGTAGCTTAGCCGCAGCATGCTAAGCTAAGGAGGAGCTGGTGACCAGGCAAACCTGAGCTCCTTCCTGGTCTACAGTGACCTACTTTCAGCTCTTAAGAGGACTGAGTGTTTAAATAAACCGAGAGAGAGAACCTACTTATTTATATATAAAGTAAAACCATTTCCTCTGAAAGTGAAGTTATGAAGTACTACAAAATACCTAGAAACCGTACATATCTTAAGCACTACTGCCAATAAGAGGATGCATCTCTTATATCCATTCCCATTTTATCCCCTTATCAAAAAACTAATGATGCAGAACAATCACAATTCATGTGTTCATTAAGTTTTGTTTATCTGATGTAAATGTAGTGTAGGGAAAACTGCAAGTATTCTCTCTCACAGTAAGGGTATAAAGAAACAGAAAATACTCGAGTAAAGAACAGTTACCGAAACAAAATAGTACATATCTTGACCACTACTGCTAATAAAATGATGCATGACATATCTCTTACACCCATTCACATTTTATCCCCTTATGCAAAAACCAGAATACACAGCAGGTCAATACTGCATTAAGAATACATCTTTCATTTGAATGTACACGTAAGAGACTGCTAAACACCTGAGCTCTGTAAAGCGCCTCGATAAACATTCATCTGTTTGTCCTCTTGTAATCTACTTATTTATATAAATAGTTATCAACGCAATAAACCGTATTTAATGTTGTCTTAAAGTACATATTCTACTTAAGCAATAGCTCACGACAGGCCGTGGTATATGTCATTATATCACAGCTAAGGGGCTTGGTTCGGCCCAACGCGAAGCGGTTACCAAGTGTGGCAATATGAAAGAAAAATACACACTCTAATTTAAATAGTTTTTATTAGTAAATAATGATGTTCAAAATAAAATAGTCCCTCCGTTGCCTTCTGCATGAAACAGTGCGAGGTGGTTGCTATGCAACAACACTAACAGCTAGCGAACATATCAGACAGAGAGCGTTGCTCCATTATTTGGCTATTTATTTACATTAATGTGTATGTTGCTGTTTATTGTGCATCCACTGAAAAACTGTCCAGCATCAGTAGCATGGCTTACGTGGTCACTTGTATAGGTTGAGGTTGTTCGAGGCTGTTGCTTTGCGTGGCGAGAATATTGCTCCACTTTTTTTGTGCTTCCAGTAGCTCTGGAGAGAGCTTTCGCACCTGTGTCCACTAACGGTCATAATTTCTCTGCTTTGTTTCAAGACCCGCATCAGAAAGCTTTTGAATGGTGGTACTTTTCCAGTTGGTCTACCTGCTCTTCACGTAGCTCTGCATGTCGTAGTTTATGCACTTTTTTTTTTCTGTTGATAGGCACTGCTCAATCCACTCCTCCATACTATAGTAAGACCCCCCCCGGAGGTCGAAGTTAATCTTAAATGTTTCCATTTTATGCTTTGTAAGTTTGTTTCGTAACGGAAGAAATTTAAATATATTTATAAAACTGACAAGTCAAATCAAGCAATCTGATTGGTCGATAGCGTTTTTGCGGACCTCTTTGATTACAGATTTGAAAACATCGTTGCTTGCTTTAAAAGTAGCATAATTAATTATGTTAAAACTTCAACTCTTGTAGATATCCCTGCCCTAAAGTCAAAATGTGAAGTTGACCATAAAAGGATCCATAAACTAACATTTACAAACTTGATTTTCTTCTACCTGAGAAGGTAATATTTACATCAACAGTATGTAGCTTACTTTTGGTAAAATAGTTAACATAATATTGAAAGCTACTAAAAACATTTTTAATTCATAAGAAACATAACACTCACTTGCTCAGTTTCTTTGAGGCAGGAGTTTTGCTTTTACAGCGATGCTTGCTGTTTACAAACGTAACGTAGAAAAACCCATTGTTGTGTAGGTTAAGATTAGTGGGTCATTTTGCTATCTTTATGACTGTATTTGTACTATCATCACTCTTCATTTTAGCATATATCGTTGCAGCTTGGGTAGGACAGCAATAGTTAGCTACTTTTTAAATGATGCAACAGAAAACTCCAGCTAAATGGTGCCAACTGTCTTCCAAAAAAAAGTGACGTTATCTAGCAATACTAGTAGGGGTAGTGGAGTGCAGAGCTTCGTGACCACAAAGCGTGTGAACGTTGTGATCAGCTGCTTTAGCGCAGTGCTGCTGTCCAGACCGACGTTAAGTCTAAACCCAAATAAATCTAATTTTGCTTGATAAATCATTTAAATGGGTTCTTATTATCAATATACTTTAGTTGTGGACAGATTTTCTGTTTTTTGGCTAATTGTATCAGAACCATTAGCAAGTGTGTAATCATAAATGACATGTAAACTTTGTGTGTTTTTGAGGCTGTGGGCAGCGGCCCCTGGTCAGTCCCCCCGGTGAGTCTCGTATAGTGGGTGGCTGGGAGGCACTTGAGGGGGCTTGGCCCTGGCAGGTCAGCATACAGATCAGATCCAGGCATCACTGCGGCGGGACCATCATCAGCAGACTCTTGGTGCTCACTTCAGCACACTGCTTCAAGAGATACCTGTGAGTATAACTGACACACCTCACTGAGCTGCACTCACATGTACATAACTCACTCTACATGTGTGCCCATGGATTACACAAAATAATGTAAACATACTATGGAGACTTTGAGTCTGAAGTGAATTCATAACGAGGAATTCACAGTTTTTGGGTGTCTGACTCAAAAAGTTCGATCAGGTACCGTTGAACAAAAAGGAGCTCTATTCAATAAAATAAGATATTTTTATTTATTTTTTATTTAATGATGTCCGGGACCCAACAATGTTATATGTGACTCAAAAAAACAATTTAAAGAGGCCACATCATCTGTGACCAAGGTGTATGTGCACAGCTTTTGAGAATATATTCTATTTAATATGTGTAAAAAATAAGAAGCCATACACCAACACATCTATAAATAGCAATGGTCAGACGTTAAAACCAAACATACATCATACATATAGAGTGTAGTGCACACAATGTGCACAATATCAGTTTTTTTTTTTTACTGCACATATTTTTATTCCATTCTATTTCTATATAAATCCTACTATATTTTTTATTATTTTATTATGTTATTATAGTTTTCTTAAAATTGTTCTCTGTCTGTGTTTTTCATTTTTGTTTTACTTTTATTTATGCACCATGAAATCAAGTTCCTTGTTCCTCATACGTGTCAAAGGACCTGGTAATAAACCTGTATCTGATTCTGATTCTGAGAGGTGCATCAGTATTTACCATCAGGGTGTCCTGAATGCAACCAAAGGTCCGTATGAGCAGGGGTCTATAGATGTCACTATTTTGCTTTCTTTATTTGCGCTTCACCAATACAGGTTTCATAGGTTGTGAAGAAGCATTACTAGTTGTGTTTAATGTTATGCTAGCCGGTTAGAAGATGGTTTCCAAATCCCAAACTACACAAAACTAACAGCACAGTTACAGTTTTGGGGCTCTTGGAAATAGTGGCCCATACATTCATCCTTGATTATAGTTTGAGAAATGCTGCTATGATTCGGCTTAGTTTG